ACATTATAAAGTAATACGGTTCCATTTCATAGTTCCTTTACATTTAAATTACTCTCCAAATAAAATCATCATAAAAACATTAAACACAGCAAACAAAATGCACAACGGCTGATCTTGACAGTTTGGTCAAGCTCTTCCCATGAATATTGCATTGCAAAAGAATGTAGTAATGATATCACAAAACGGAGCGTCACAAGAATCATCATGCAAATGAGAACATATAATATATGATCAGTTCAGTTAATAAGACAATTTACATTAGCAGACATATGCTATAAGCTATACACGTTTGATATGATGATTACTTTTTACAACAGTGTGCATACTAGTGTGGCTATAAACACTACGCAGCCATAAAAAATACATTATTGGCGATTAACGCCATTGCAAAAAATTCATTTTACTCAGTTTAAATACAAATACCACACCAGAACAACGACTTTAGATAAGTTTATTTTACTGACCACAGAGAATCACTCGTGCTGCTGTTGAACCATAAGGGGTCCTTCAGTCCCTGTTGAGATGGTAGACCGGTTAAACAGATGCCTGATTAAATTTCACACAACAACTATTTCCTTTGACTATTTATTTAATAAATACATAAATACAAATACTTACAGTTTGTTTTATTTTCAATTAAATGTCTATGTAGATACTGCAATGCAAAGTCACAAATCAAGATAGTACGGCAGTCTTTGTCAGGAGCTGAAAAAAGCTCGCTTCAAAATAAAGGTTTTTTATTGTGAGTCCAGTTCTCTTCACTTCATGTGTCTCAAAAGTTTAAAGTAACTTAATTAATTTGATAATGATTTGATAATGATTGAATCATATTTACTGTATGAGTAAATTATTAAAAGAAAGGAATTGGTCTGCGTTCCATACCGAGGACTTTTATTTTGGAAAGAGACGGGAAACGGACAAGGGTCTTTGTTGTGTTATTTCCATAGGGTTATTTCAGGCGTTGCAATCTAATCTTGTTCTCATTTTCAAAAATCAAGCAAGCTTTTGCTGGACACAAGGTTAGTAAAGCAAAACCAAACAGGTAAATCGTTTAATAAAGCTTTAAATATATGAATTGTAGTGAGTGCACTGTGCAGTAATCGCGCTTCATGTTACAGCGAGTTTAAATGTGTCTGCGCATGATGCAGCGTTAAATCGCCTCATTTTTGTGATGTGCCGCCATTGTTTAACTTACTTTCTCTTACAGCCGAAAGAGAAGGACCGTGCATGTTAGTTCCAAATGAGTTTCTCCAATCTTAATTTGAATGTGTTTTTTTTTTAATTACAGCAATAATATTTTTTTTAAATATGTGGCCATTTGTTTTTTTACAGCATGGAAGCACGACTAAATCCCAATAAGAGGGGCAGGGCCGGTGGGAAGGTGAGCTCTAATAGTGCACTACATCATATCAGATCCACTCCATCAGCCCTACCGCGTGGATCTAGACCATTTACAGACATACTTTTTAGACGGTTTAGAACAGTAGTTCTCATTGAGAACTTCTCAAACACTGGTCACTCAAAAATAACAACAGGAATTTGTTATTGAAAGGCCCTTCTATTAAATATGAATGCATGTTATTGATATCATTGCAAACAATTAATTAATGCATGTTTTATTTATTCATACTTTTTTATTAAATAAACATTAGTATGCATGCACATTTATCCAGCAACATATAATTCAAATTTGTTTTTGTGAAACCACTTTTATCTGGTGACATGCAGGACTTCCCCAATTATTTAGTCCTCTTAAATCCCATTCCTGGACACTCGCATTCATCTGCCTCCTTTGTTGAGTGAATGATTTGAGTGCATCCCAAAATCTAATTAGCAACAAATGCGAAGAACAACGGATGTTCATCACAATTAGTGATGGGAATTTTGGATCATTTTACTGACTCGGCTCTTTGAGTCTCGTTCAGCAAATGGACAAATCTTTTTTTCCAAGTCATTTTGTTAATTTCCGCAGAATATATTTTAATTGTAACATGTTAATAGCCAAATTCCCCAACACATCAACCTACGCAAACGTTGATCACATTTAAAATGAGAATAATAATAAACTATAGTGCACCCAAGGACAAATTAGGAGAAACAGAAATCATTAGTTCATTGCTTAGCTGGGTCTCCAGGCTATGCAGTCTGTTAGTTCACCGCACCTCCTGATCCGATTCATTCGTTCTTTTGTCACGTCACTTCTTACCATAGTCTAAAGCTATGCAGTCTGTACCGGAAACAGAAATGATTAGTTCACCTCTCGAGTCTTCGGGTCCGAGACGTTCGTTCATTACGAGTTATGGAAAAGAACCTTCATGACAGAATTTCGAGAATGTATAAATTGTAAGAAATTTGAAACCAGAAACGCATCACGTAACTGTAAAAAAGCGAAAGGAGCTTTTCCACTGCATTGTTCGGCTCAGTTTGCTTTTCCACTGCAGTTTAGTACCGCTGCACAGTGGGTGGGATTATAGACTGGTCGTTATAGTTACGCTGCCTCTACTGTCGTGACATCATCGAAACGCGACACAAACAAACCCACAATACAGGAGCAATGGAGCATATCGATGGTTTTCTTGATTCTCGGCATGTGGATGTTTTTCACTGCAAGACGAAGTTTTTGTTTTTTCGGGTTTGGTGTCGCAAATCCAATGACGCTGGTAGTGACGATTCTCTGTTACCAATCAGTGAACTGCAGTGTTTACACGTCACATTTTATTATCTGTATGGCTCGCCTGGAACCACACTAGTATGCAACAGTGTGCATACTAGTGTGGCTATTGGTGCGTTCAAGTTATCTCGTATAGATCGTATTTACGAGTTGAACGCCACCACAATGTCGTAAATACCAGTGGGGAGCTCGGGATTTTCTCTAAGCCCCGATCTTTCCGAGTTGTGGGCGTGTCACTGAGAAACATGGCGGAATACCACAATACTTAAATATTATGCAGTGATATTGTCATGGTTTTCTATTTACAGCGCAGTTAAGCTAATTGCTTGCACATAATATGATGGCATTATAATATAACAATGCAACATGCAACGATAAAGTTGGCAGTGGCTTCATAAATTAATTAAAAACATTAAAAAACAAAGTACATCTGATGCACATTTCTTTGTTCTTTATTTTCTAGAACAAGAGTTCAAGAACCTCATTGTATTTTTGTGTAATTAATTAAGAAAGTACTCCGACAAAAGTGACTTGAACACGCCTGCTGTCGTAAACACGACTTCCCACCTCGTACGTATGAACTTCCCAGGAGGACTTGAACGCACCATATAAACACTACGCAGCCATAAAAAATACATTATTGGCGGTCGGTAGACTGGTCGTAGACTGCCCCCCCCCACCCCCTCCCCCACCCCCACCCCCACCTCCATGCAGTGGAGAAGGACCTAAAGTGAACTGTTAAGCCTTGTTTATACTCGACGCGTCCGCACGAGCACCTCTCCAAACGGACGAGGCGTTTATACTTGACGCGCTCGCCGTTGTGCTATTCTGTGAAACGACAGGGGGCGACTCGGAGTAATTCTCCTCTAAACCACCAGGAATCAGCAGTGAAGAAGTAGTTTGCCGTTTATTAGTAGTTTATTAATAGCTGATTCATATTAAGAGTAAATGCAGTAGGTGTATTGTACTTTCTTGTACAAACTCGTTAAACAACTGAAGCCTTATTGAAGAGTGCTTAATTTCATCAGCAGGGCTTACTTCTGCTATTGTAGGCTTATTTTATAAATGTAAGCAGTTACTTTAGACAAGTGCAAACTGGGTGCTTAATGCAAATGTGTTCCTATTCACAAAATGAGAGGCTTTTATGGTCGCCCATCAATGCAAATGTCTCTGTGTATAGAAGGATCATAAACATGCTGGTACAGACGTACCAGTTCGGCCTGATTCGGCTCGAAGTCGTTCATCTTCGCATGCGGCGCCGCGCGCGATGTTACAAAAAGTGCCGTGCACACCGCCAGGCGAAATGGGGTCACCAAAAAGGGCCCACACCGCAATTACGTCATTTTGCCGTGCGCACCTTCGCGCACTTGCGGACACATCGAGTATAAACAAGGGTTTAGACTGGTCGTAGACTGCCCCCCCCCTACGTACCTAAAGCACCTAAAGTGAACTGTACCATGCAGTTCACCAACCCACCTGATGTGTCATGAAGCTCAGCCTGACACGGTGACGCAAACTGCTTGGTATTTTTGGAAAGATTCATATTGTAGCTTGCATCATCGGTATGCTGTAAGGATACAGATCTTTCAGCAAAATGAACTGAAAAAGACTGTGATCTCACTGTGACCAACTGAATTTGTCATAGTGTTGTAGAGGTGTGGGAATCCTGCCTTTTATTTTTTTTTGCTGAACATGTGACATTCCTCACCCCTCAAATAGTTAATCTCTAACTCTACGAGATTAATAGTAAAATTATATTAGTCTCTGCCTCTATTGTCTGTGAGGTTTACGAGTATTTGCAGGATATTCTGCTATTTGAAACCAAAACAACAATGTTAAATAGCAAAAACAATTATTAAATAACAATGAGAGTATTAACTACTAATAAAGGGAAATAGTTAAGTGGTCATCACATATTCAGTGCAGACCTTGTATAAGCAACTTGACAAATTTGTTTTCCTAAAGTAGCTTAAATGTAGTTATATATTAAAATATTTTTGTGCACCAAATCAGCATATTAGAATGATTTCTGAAGGATCACGTGACACTTAAGACTGGAGTAACGGCTGCTGAATAATCAGCTTTGCCAACGCATGAATAAATTACATTGTTTTAAAAATCTCTTAAAATAGTTAAGTTGCAGATATTTCAAAATATCACTGTTTTTACTGTGTTTTTTTATCCAATAAATGCAGCTTTGGTGAGAATAGAGTAGATTTTTTTTGAAAAAACATTAGAAAGTCTTACCTACTCCAAACTTTTTATGTCCATAGTCTGTCATTGACCTGACAGTGCTTTTTTGTCCTGTAAAAGACAGATAAGCACTAATGTTTTAAAAAACCCATTCTGCAGCAGAATGTAACTTGCAGAATATGTTACTCCTGTATCATCCCATGTGTTTTCTTGTTTGCCTGATAGAGCCCCATTGTTTGGGAGATGAATAAAGCACAATTTTTCTTCTAGCATGATGGTGTTTGGCGAAGAGACACTTTGTGTCCTCAAGTCCAAGGACTGTCAGCTTCTACTCTTAAAGTGGAGCGGAGAATTCAAGCGGAGGAGGAGGGCGAGCTCTGCTCTGCTCTTCACCTCCTGTCCTGTTATATCTTTCTAATTCCTCTCTATTTCTCTCCCCCACCAACGATTTTATTTGTCGCCTGTGACAGAAAAAGCAGCAGCTCTACAACGGTGACATAGGTAAGTGCCGCCCTCAGAACCCTTCAGTTCTGCCCTTCAGCTGTGCCTGGCCTTGGTAATGTTATTGCCATGTGCCACTTCTGGGTTTTTCAGAGCTTTGGAGCTTCAACCCTGAACACATCACACAAGCACAGCTTTCAAACAAGCACCTTTTTCAGACCAATGCTTTGCACTGTGTACATATTTTGAACTGCGGTGTGCTGAACAACATTAGAAACATCAACATTGAGCTCCTTCGAGCAACATTAGAAAAGTCAAGACCTGTTCTCGCCATGTGCTGTAACATCAGGTCGAGATGCAAGAATGCTTGGAGGTGGAGTATCCCACCTTCGATCCCTGTATGCCCACTTAGGGTCATCTAACTATAGTGATTGTGGCGCCTTGTTAAGGGCATGCATTAAGCTGCCCAAGGAAAGTTAACAGGAATTTCATTATACGTCAGGTGCCACTAGCCTTAAACTCAATTAGAACGGTCATGCTGCTGCAGTGTGATCGGCTGAGGTCTCAACTGGTGTGCTTTTGTTGTCACTCTTTGCTTGTGACCAGAAATACAGCGGGCATCACTGCAGCTTTTTCATTCAAATCTGTTGTTTTTATATGTTGTTCAGCGTTTAAGTGCAGATAGTTGTGGCTCACTTTTCTGACCACAATTTTCATCAACTATGACTGTTGCCTATAATGTAGGCCTGGGGTAACCGATGAACGAGTGCTTAAAGCACTCAGCTAGTTTTGTTTTTCAGTAACCACTTAGTACTGTATCAGTTGAGTGGGTACACTTCTTTACTTTAAGTCCTGGTTCACAATTCCTGCCCACGTGCATTTTGATTTGACTAATTCATGTTTTTCATCAGTCTTCACCTCCAAGAATGGATCCATCCAGACCATACCCAGCCTGAACAAACGGCTCAAATCAGTCACCGACACTGTTATTGGTGGGTAAAGATCTATATATTTTCTTCTGCTATTATATAAATAAATGTGATTTAAATGGCTTTAATGTACTTGGCTGATTTTTGCTAGTGACAGTATAGCTGGAGTCTGGACTGAATCTTAAACTACTTTGAGTAATCTTATGTTTGAATTAGTGCTGGGCAAGTTAACGCGTTATTATCGCGTTAACTCATTTATTAATTAATGCCGACAATTTTTTTTATGGCGCGACAATTTTTTTTTAAATTATTATTATTTTGAAAGTCCGTTGCTCACTGGCTCTGAATACACATAGGCCTACAGTCAAACCATGGATCAGGGGTGGGATGTTGGTCAGCCAGCACATAACCCACCCAAACAAGCAGTGGAGAGGCTTTGGCAGGTTCTCTCAGGTGAACAGAAAGGGAGACAGCGCTCCGCGAGTGAATGACAGGCGCTCTATGGATAGTAACCATGGCGACGGCTTCTGTGCGCTACGCAGCTGTGGCCTTTTTAACTTAAATTAAAATTATACATAACTTTACCTGATAGGCCTGCGTTTAGTTTAGCGGGGATGCTCTGCCATGTGAATTCCCTCCTGTTGATGTCCTGATAACTATTTCAATTCTGGAAACTCACAAACAGCGATCCGAGGATCAGTCTCTCTTCCAATGATTTGTGCTGCGCGTCGTGTACAAAAAGTTAGACAATTCAACTTCGGCAACGCGCGGGCGCGTGCGTGAGGCGAGCATGACCGCAACAGTTTCACAGGAACGCACCCGCTTGTCGCTGCACCTGTGCTCGACCACTTCACCTCACTCACCTTTACCTCTGTTTAATGTGATCTTACGTGGGAAACCATGGCATGCCATGACCAAACCTAAGCTGCTATGAATCAGAGAAGTAACATTGGTCGACTCTGTAGTAGTGATCATGACCCTTTGACTACATAGACTGTTTCTGCTGCTCCCTGATACAAGATACCTGTTCAGAGAAAAAAAAAAAAAAAAGAAAACTGGACTCGTTTTAACAAGCTAGATAAAAGGTAATGCCATGGCAGTGGCAAATAGCTTTGTTTAAATATTTGATTTGATTACATTAATGTTTAAGTTGAGATTTACAAGAAATATTTTATTGATACTGTGTAAAGGGAATACTGCTGGTATAAAAGCACCTTATTTGTTTAAAGTTTTTGCAAACCACATGTTATTGCACTTTTGTGGCAGTACATTTAAATCAAAAGTGCGCAATACACTACTTTAGAATTCATTATTCAATTTTGCGCGTAACAATGTGATTAATCGCAAGAAAATCATGCGATTAATCGCGATTAAATTTTTTAATCGTTGCCCAGCACTAGTTTGAATACATATTTGCTTTGTGTTTATAGGACTGCAGTACATATGGGAGTATCGAAGCCCGTCTAAGTCGGCTCCTCCTCATTACCAGTGTAAACTGTGTGTAGTCCAGCAGCTGCAGAATGAAATAGCTGCTCACATCACAGGCTGGAAGCACAGCTTCAGATACATGGTATGATCTTCACAATTACTTCCAGATAGATATCACAGATTAGCTCTGCCCATGCTTCTGATATATACACATCCACATTGTTATTATTATTATTGGTAAACAGAAACAGAACCACAAAGACAAGGTTCCTTATGAGGAAGAGGATGCGCTTAAAGATCCAACCACCAGGAAAGCCATTAAAGCTGCTGCTGCTGAAGTTGAAAAAGCTGAGGGAAGAGGTCAAATTAAGGTAAAAGACTGCATGCTGATGTGCTCTTAAGACTTACACAAGTACTCTTTAATTACATAATCTTTTTTTCTTTTCTTCCGTCCAGATGGTGCTAAAGGAGCCATGTGACGTTATGGCCTTTCAGGGCATGAGTAAGTCAGTTATTCTTTCATACACCATTCAATCTATTCCCCATGAATAAAATCCAGCCCTGTAGTTTTTCTCATTGAATACTCTTTCACTTGGAAAGATGTAATCTTATGGAATGAAAGCTGGTTGCTGTACTAGACATTTCCTTAAAGGTACTTGGGTGTCCTGGTCACCTGTTATAGACTGACCCTTACTTTGTATGGATGGATGTCATACTATTCAGAAGACACTTCATAACGAATAAAGAAATTGTTCACAGCTTGGAGTAAATTCAGATGCTGCAGAGCAACACGCGCATGAAAAGAATGCATGAAATTTGCAAGACATCTTTGATCGGTTCAGTCCTTATCTTTGCTATGCATTCCTTTCTGGTACTAAGCAGATAAACGCTAAATTCTCCTAACCGCGCATGTGTAAACCCTCATAAAAACTCACTGGGATGATATTCTAGATCTAGACGGAACAAAACATAATAAAGTTATCACGCAATTCTTCTGGCAGGATAATTTTATTTAGCAAAATATCTCACCATTCACTGATGCGTCCAGGTCACATTCGCCATTATATGTTTGGTCTAAAACGCAACTGCTCATGTTTTGCCACAGGATAGCAAATGTAAGTGAATTGTCATGTTTGCAGGACTGTGATATGAGGAGAGTACATTTTAGCAACTGTGTGAAAGTGAATAGCACATAACAGGCACAATACCGGTATAAACATGAATATCTATCGGTACAATATACTTCCTACTGTGAATAAACATGCATCATCGTTTTCACAGTCCACACTACAATGCGAAAATGCCGTTTTCAAATTTATCCAATTTGGAGCGTTTTCAAAAAGCGTAGTTTTTGTTAATAAAAACGCTGTCTCCGTGTGGACGGAAGGCTAAAACAGTGAGAAAAAGATGCTTTTTCAAAGAAAAATGTATTAGTGTGGACCAAGGTTATAATCGTTAACGAAAACAAACGAAAAAACGAAAACTAGGGGGGAAAAACATTGTCGTTAACTGAAATAAAAATAAAAACGAGGCATTAAAAAAAATGATAACTAACTAAAACTGTAATGTATGTTTGGCTAAAATAAAATTATAGAGTAAATGTCCTTAGTTTTCGTCTTTGTCAATGTCTTTCATAGAGCAAATAACGTAAGAGCAGCGTATTCGTTCAGCTGCATTTCCTTTACCTGCTCTCCCTCTGTCTCTCTGTCACTCATGCATCTCTCTCACATACACGCGCGCACACACACACAGCCCCTCCCCTCCTTGCACACCGCATCTCCATGAAAACGAGTGTTCGTTGAAAGCAAGTTCGCGAAAGATTGGTATCTCGTGAACACCTTTACACAATCACACATTTAAAAAGTCCTATAAAAGTAGATCCAGATCTACCAGATTGTTGCTCATTTTCTAATTTGTGAAGATATACCTACCTTGTGAAAATGTTCTTAATTATCTGGCCCAATCCCACTATCACTTCCCTTCTAGCCTTCCTTACCTCCAGTTGCACCAGACATACTCAGTTGTTTTATGTTAAATGTTATTGTCTAGCCATATTTATGTGTATTTCGATCTTCTGATGAATTCTATCCATATGCCATCCAGTTATTTATCAAGATGTTTGTTTTTCGTAGAGTCCGCACAACCCAATCTAGGGTTTACAGGAACTGGCATTCTTGGGCCCCCTCCCAGAGGCATAAAACACGGTTAGTGTCTCACGAGTGTGTTTGTTTGTGTTGATAGAAGCATTGGTTAAAAAAAAAAAATTTGGAAAGATTGTTCCGATTGTTGCTTGACTTTTTCCTCACATTCTCAGGAGGTCCATTTGGAGGTCCCTTTCAAGATCCCACGTACATGGGGGATTTTCCACCCCGTGGTGGCATGATGTCTGATTTCGCCCCTGGCATGCATGGAGGTATGGATGATCCTCCTATGAGGAGAAGTTATTCTGATATGGAAGACTTCACTAGCCCTGGTCGCTATGGTAACAGCATGTCTGGACCAGACAGGGGGATGATGGAACCAGAGGACATGCATCGTTTCCCTGATGATGGTCAAATGGGCATGGGCCCTGATGGTTTTGGGCCCGGCCAGCGTAATGATGGTATGGGCAGACCTTTCCCTAATGACATGTCTATGAACAGCAGCGGGGACAGGTTGATGGGACATGGCCCTAAAGGTCCGGAAAACAATAGCCTCCCTGCAACACTGCTCAAATATCTGGTACGGTTTTTTTGGATTTACAGTTTGTCGAAGCGCTTCTTGTTTAGATTATCAACTGTTTGGAGTTAATAAACTGTTTCTTGTTGATTATTAGGACTCTTTTCGTATTGAGAATGAGGACGATGCCCAGATTGTCTTAAAAGTCACACAGAAGCTCACAGATGTTCTGATGGAGTACCGCCTCAGAAGCATTTCAGCGGTAAATGCTTCCAATGATTACTTATTATAATATGCATATATTGTTTTGTTGTTGTTAATTCAAAATTGCATTTCTACATCCTGTTTACTGGCTCGGATCAAATTTAGGAATTTAATTGGAACTTTAGAAATCACATTCTCAATGACAAACAACTTTGGTTATTATATTAAAATATTTGACCTCAGAATCTCAGTTCGCCCAGGTAAGGTTGTACACATAACTACAGGTTATTCATCGAAGAGACAATACACAATTTAGTCTAGTACTTCTAGTGTGGAAATTTAAAAACTGGCTATTTGGGTGATAAAGAAGCAAACAGCAGTTTTATATTTGTGTTGATGTGGGTGTTAACTGTAAAGAGTCGATGAAACCAGTTGCAGAATTGGTTTGTTTGTGAACAGGATGTGGTATGCTTAATTTCCTTTATGAAGTATGATGAGATTTTTATTGAAGACGTCAGTGATCTCTTTACTCTTTATCCCTCATTAGTGTTTGATTTAGGTATATGCTTGCTTTGTAATTAGTTTGAAAAATGTAGTCTTAAAAACAAGTTTGTAGAAATACATTTTAGTGCAATTTTGGAAAGCAGTAATTAAAGGAAGAAAAAAAGCCGTGGTACTAACGGAAATGGCTTATTTTCTCTTCCTCATTCAAGCTAAAATTAAACCCTTGTAACAGGGTCTCTGCCTTCTTTAATGACTTGCCATTGTCTTGTCTTTTGTAAATCTACCATTGCCTTTCTAAAACAATGTAAATAAAAGTTGTGGCAAAAAACATGCTGAGTAGGATGAACAACAAGATCTAAAGTAAGACAATAAGTCGTCTGTCACATGATTAGCTTTGTCTGAATTATTAAATCAAAAATAAAGTGTTATCACAGTTAAGTTTGAATTTGAATTGTTTTTCAGGTGCCCAGTCTGAAGCCCCTGCCCTCAATGAACTACTCATCCTCATGTCTTCCAAACAGTTCTAATGACAGATTTTCCAGCGGCATGCCAGGTATTGCACATTTATGCTTATTTTTCATTAATTTACTAAGACTCTACTTTTGCTAGTAAATGGTTTGCATCCATATAAAACGAGTACCTTTCATTTGTCAAGAAAATAGGTATTATTACATGGTTATGTAAAATACAAAATATTGTGTGGAATTTCCAGTATCATGACTCATATTGATTCTATGATTTCAATCCTACTCTGCTTGAAACCGAGATGGGTACAGAGTAGGGGTGTGCAAAAAAATCGATTCACATTTGAATTGCGATTCAATCTTTACCGATTCAGAATCGATTCATAGAATTCCAAAAATCGATTCATATATTTTTTTTTATTTTTTTTTATGGCGTGCACGGGCGGAGTGGCAATCGGGTGAGTCGGGACTTTTACCGGTGGTTCGGTAGTGTTTCGAGGCTGCGAGGGCCGGTCTGATAAATAGTTACATTGCAAGTTCTTGCCGCCCGCTGGTCAAACTGTGCAGCCTCTCTGCTCAACCCGTAAATAAATGCATCGATCCGCTGATTATGTTTGAGTTCTTAATGGTCTGTAGATCTTTTGCCAAGCGTGTCAGAGGTTACGGGTTCTAAACCGCACTCGTATAGTTTTTTCTCTCTCTCATCAAAACCGAATATGTTCATCACGTTTGTGTGCATTTTATTTTGAGATTTCACCGGAACCACAACGGCGATATGAAGCGCGCGTCCGAGTGAAGACTGCGCGAGCCACAGAGAACACTGTATCCATGACACTGATAGCAGCGACAACGAGCGCTGACAGCGCTCAGCTTGATTTCAAAAACAACAGATCTCTTATTTAATAGCGAACTAAATAAATGCTCTGCTAGTTAACTGGAGATACCCGCAAATTAAGCCTATGAACGACTTCACTGGATCTAAACAAATCAATCTAACCATAGATGTTACCAGTAGCGGTGGCTTTTTAAAATCTATTTAAAACTATTTCGCAAGGGTTCTATGACATTAGTATATTTTTAGGAAGTTCAATGTGCCCAGTCGAGTTCACATTTCAACAGTCAGCCTGGTAGCTGAAGTAGTCCTTAAACCACATTTAGCATAATTGTTTGTTTGATCTGACTACAGCACTTTAAAGCTAAATGTAAAAGCTTTTTATTTAAGTTTTATTTTAAACTTGAATTAAATGTATTTGAAAGCTGGCCAAAGCTTGGCACTTTGCACTTTTTAGTTGCAAAAGTTTTTATTTTTGTTTGAAGACATAAAGTAATATCAAACTACATTTAATTTGTTGTGTTTTTTTTCTTTTAAATTGTGTTTACTGCAATCAATCACATAGGAAAAAGTAAACTACATTTATATACTGCGAATCGTTTTTTGAATCGAGAATCGTTTTTGAATCGAAAATCGATTTTGAATCGAATCTTGAGACAAAAAATCGGTATCGAATCGTGACATTTTCTGAATCGTGCACCCCTAGTACAGAGGCTGAAAAATGATGAGCCGAAATGAGCAAAAAATAGCATGTCTTGTCATTGTGATTTCTAAATGCATAAAGTTCATTTTCACTCAGACTGCTCTACCTTCACAGGTCCATCAAGATTCTACAAATGAACACTCATCTGATGGTTGTAATCAAGACCTGGATCCAGCCTGCTTTGCCTGTTTTTGACATGGCTTTCTTGACTTTGTTCATGACCAAACACTTTTTTTTCTTGCCTTTTATTAGGTCGTTTTGTTTTTACAGTGTATACATAGGTAGATTTATTTTAAATGTTTAATTTTTCTCTTCCTTTCTCGCTCAGACATGCTAAACATATTTGTGTGCAGTTATTTGTAATAGCAACAATTTTTAGTGAGTGATTTAAGCAGTCTTTAAGTGGTCAGTGAAATCTTCAATGTGACATTTTGTTGTAAAGGTTTGTTGCCATAATTGTAAAATAAACTCAAAGTTCCAAGAACCTTATTGCTCCTTTTGTATGATTTGTGGGTGCAGTTCCTGTATCCATTGAAGACATCCTCACTTCGATCAGGTTGTCCCATAGTTTGATTACAGCATCTTGTAGACTTGGAATTAAGCTCTTGTCCCCGTTGTTGAATCACGGGACCAAACACCAGTTATTTTGCCAAGAGATATCTCGTTTATTATTAATTGTCAAGACATAGGAGAGAGACAATTTACTGGAGAGATGATGTCCATACTCAAAGTTTGGGCATGTATATGCCGACCAAATGAACTTATCCCTACAAGGTGGTAAAATGTTGTTCATGTTTAAAATAGATGTATATGTCATGCTATACAGTCCTCCTTCCGTATAGAGAATACCAACATTTTCCATAGCCTTGCATGGGAGAACATCTGCTACATTGCATGTACATTCCAATGTGGTTAAAATAACTCCTCAGTGTCTGACATGTAATCCATTCCTCACACACATTTTCATGTACTTCAAACTTCACAAAATACAAAAATAATATTAAATAACATTTGTCTTCACATCTCCATCAGTTTTGATCTTATGTCACTGCTCTCCAAACAACACCCTCAAATGTTTTACGTTTTATTAGGGTTCTTAAATATTTATGTAGACCACTTTTCATTGATTCCCATCTCTTTTTCCCTTTATGTAGTGCAGTGCAAATGGCATTTGTATGAAGTTGCATCATGCCACGTTTCCATTACCCTTGCAAATTGAAATGGAAAACTCCCCAATGGAAACGCATACATTTTTAAAAAATAACTCCCATATATGGCAAAAAAGTTTTTACACTCGCATGAGGTGGTTTTTCAGTCAATTAAAAAAAGAAATATGTCGCAAAACTGCAATGGAAATAGTTTTTGCGCATTTACAGGTCACCTGACATTGATGGCGGACAGAAGATGAGACAATAGTTCTTCATTAAAATCATAAAAGACAAGTATTATGGGAATACTGGATTCTAAACAACAAAGAAATGCCACAATTTGTTAAGACCTTGAAGCAGATAGAAGGGAGAAACACATATGCGCCGCTCCCAAGTATAAGGGGCTTTCCTTGCCATTAATGCTTGGATAACACGCCAACATCTCCTTCGATTAAAAATAATGAGTGCGGTGGCTGAGATATAATTTAAAATATTCATTTATTGACAAATTAGAGACTGAAAAATTGACAAACTGATTGTGCAAGTTTAATTGCAATATAACATCAAAATGTCAAATTAAATACAAATTTATCAAGTCACGAAGACATCAGAAACAACTTAAAGTGGTTTCCGTTTTAGAAATAGGAATGTATAGAAATGGCAAATCAAAACACTGGCTACCATACAGACATGGTCAGAAACCTTTTTAAACATCTTGTCTGTAACAAATTTCTGATAAACTTAAAATATATACAGTCAAACCGAATAACTCAAAAACTAAATTTTAATATGCAATACAAGATATCTGGGATATATCCGTTTTTAATTGAAGCCAGTAAGCTGTGTTCAGCAGCAACAACTGAGAGGGAAAAAAAGCAACAAGTGCAAGAGTTTTAAATGTGGAAGTATACAGCCATTATTTAAGCACTTGGAGTAGTCCTTAATACTTTGCCAACCATTGTATGAAAAATATTGAGGTCTTTTTTTAGTATGCTCCTTCCATGTAGTACTCAAAATCTAGACTGGGCATCTTCAATTGTTGTACCCATAATATTGCTTGAGCACATTGCTTGCCAGAGTGCCAAATTTCGACAGGATTTGGCGTGAGAAAGCTTGTTAGAAATCTTCAAATGAATTAATTGTCCTCATTAACATAGATTTTACACCACTGCTGGTGTCTGAAGGTGCTGAAAACATCTCACATCTTCAGTTGTTCAACGTGTGCCAAGTATCTTCTCCATCTGTTGACGTGTGATGCAAGTGAGTAGAATTTTTGCTCCCATAAAATACTTGCCATGAAGACTCTGGGCTTGTGTGGCGACTTCCTGACATCCAAACTGCACGATGGCTTCCCCAACGCCATTGCCCTGGCTGTCCACAAGCAATATGATTGAATTTTCACAGATGTTAAAGCGCATGAAAAAATCTCTCACCTCTTGTTTCCTGATATCTGCAGGAAAATTGCGTGCATATATACACGACATGGTTAAATGTTTCTTTCCATAAGGCGGTGGCCTCCAGACAGTACATCGGTTTCTGCTGACTATGGCTAACATTTCTTCTTTAGTAATGGATGACACCTCAATGTTTTTTAAGCCAACAGTAGTGCCATTCATGTTCAGAGCTGAGGTGTAGTCTTCTGCATGCTCAAAGGTAATGAACGCAGTGCTTGTCCTCTCTCCCCACTTGTTTAATAAATGTTTTATTCTATGATTTGGGATTGCTTGACAGCCGAAAATCTCCTTGATCTCAGTCTTGGTTATATTCCTTGAAAGATTATTGACAATAACAGATTGTTCAGTTTGAGGGGATGGAAAGTTTCGGCAGAATTTTTTAGGAGATCCTGGTGAGGGCTGTTCTTCTGCATTTCTTTTGGTTAAGAAACCTCTAATTGCATTTCTATCTGTGTTGACCTCCTTTTGCTCTGAGAAAGTGTGAGGCTTGATGTTTTGCATGCAATTTTTTGACTGCTCCACGGCTTCTGTCCACATCTTCTCATGGGCAAATCTGACCTCAACATTGAACTCTTTGAATTTTCTGTGGCTGTATTTCAGCCCTTCCTCTGCATCTGCAAAACTTGCCAGCTTTGCCATACAGCACCAGCCCAGTTCCAGTCGAACTTTCGTAATGACCTCCAACACTGGGAGTCCCCGTAGGAACTGGTAGATCTCTTGTTTGGCAACAGAGTCAGGAAATCCATAAAGCCGAAGGTACCCTGGCTTACAGGTATTGAGGTTTTCTCCTCTGCTTTTCTGCTCCTTAGATGCCAAGTCATAAGTAAGACTATGCTGAGCATCAGTATTTGTTTGGTTGTCAGTTGTGGAATGATTGTGTATTTTTGGAACGTTTTGGTTGATATCTTCAGGCGTTTGGTGGGCCGGACTTTGGCGATTCACTTTGTTGTCTGAATGTGGCCCATGAATAGCAGCCATTAGACTAAGCAAAAGAGCTGCATTGGTGTCAGATGGCGATGATGGCACCATTTTGGTCTCAACTGTTGACTTTGGTTTCCTCAATCTCGACTCCATTATTCTCTTTAACTCAGGCAGACTGCTGATATGTAATGAAATAGAGGAGCCTCTGAGGAGTCTTCCAGAGTAGCGCATGGCTAGTTGGCCTTCTCTCTCTGTATTAAAAATAATGAAAGCTTCACCCATCGCACCACCGATGATATGAACACCACCCTCAGGTATGTGCAAGCCATGGAAAAATCTGCGAATATCTTCAGATCCTGCCTCTGTGTTTAAACCTTGCAAACGCAGAACCACTATTGTCATGATCAAATTCTTCTCACAAACCACTGAGATCTGTTTTAAAAAAAGAGGCAAAAAGCAAACATTTTAGATATGTTTCTCGAAAATAAAATAAAAATAAAAACACACAACAAAAAAACACAACTTTTTGAACAAACTACTGTTTTCTCCTTTTTGTTCAACACTTCCAAAAGGGCAACAAAAAAAAAGCACACAAGAAAATTCCCTTCCAGCTAAAAAATCGAAACAAATGTGTCCTCAGACCCTTACTTACCGTTTGTTTGTCTTTAAAACATATACTTCAATATAAATTGTTCCCCGCACAAGACTTTTTCTGTCACAGAAAACACGCGGTAACCTGCAAACTGCACACCACATGCGTCCGGTGGGTAACTCAACTTCCTCTGGAAGAGACTTTTAAGGGGAGCGCGGCAGCGCGCACGCAACACGCTTTCTGAGCGTAAACAGGAACATGTACGTCATCAAGCGTCATCTGCACCATGGCGACGGGGACGCTGAGAGCTTTCGTGTGCAGTTTCTCGATCATATTCCTGATCAAATTAAACGCTTTTTCTTGCCAGCAGTTTTCTATATCTCTTCAACAGCCTTCGGATTGTGGTGCTGAAAGTTATTTTGATATTTCGAGCTTGTCTTGTGTGAAATGTGGGCCGAATCAAGTCAACAGCAAATCAGGTACGCGGGTCGCGCGCGCAGATTAGTTTGCTTTGTTTTGACCAACCTAACACAGAGTCATTTATCGATGTATCGTCATTTCTGTTGTTGATATAACTAGTAAGATTCATACGAGTAAGCGTCTTGTCAGTGAATCAACTGCACGCGATATAATATATAATACATTATAAAAACGTTTGCTGCACATAACACCACAATAAACAAATAAAGATTAAAATATAGAGGTTTATTTGTTATTATTCACCATACTTGTTTTATAACATGCTTAATTTTAAAGCAGCTTGTACGATTATGTGTATTTCTGCCATATAGGACTGATATGTGAGTGTCAGACTGGTTTCAAGGTGCTGGTCAGCAATGGGGCGTCCATCACGTGCCAGCAGTGTCCTGATGCCAATCAGGTACTGTATTGGGTTGAATTTGTATTGATATTATTATTGTATTAAGAATACTAATACTATTTTACAATAATATGATTACAGGGGGTTACTCAGGATGGGTATGGATGTATCAGTTGTCCTGGAAGTGTAGGGGTGAATGGCAAGTGCCAGTGTCCTGAGGGAAGCGTGCTGGGTAGGTTAACGGTGCACAGTTTTAGGTAAAAGGTGCAGCATTGTTTTATAATTTCATGGTATCTAATTGTATTTGTCAGTGGAGAGAGATGGGAATGGGAATCCATTAAATGAAGCACGATGTGAAGCATGTAGTGCAACAGAGCCTGCTTTTTCGGCCCCAGATACAACAGGCAAAAGGTAAAGCTGCTATTCCTATCCATGGCACTGGGTTTTCATGTTGATCTTCATGCATAAAAAGTGATTAATTTTGTTTGGACATGTGTATGCTTAGGTGTGTGAGATGTGAGGACTCATTCATCAACTCATCTCAGTCGTGTATTTGCGGGACATCAAACGTACTGGTGAGAATTTGGTGCATTTGTTTAAATTTATGTATAGCCTATGTTTATGCGATGCATTTAGAGTGATGAAAATTGAGAAAGTTATGCTTTTATCACACAGGCAGGAGGGATGTGCTTCCCTTCAAACAGTTTGCCTACCTCTGTTGCTTCAAATGTCATCTTTGGCCAACTGGTAAGAGTCCAAAGTTAACATTATGAATAGTGTTTGTGTACTGTTGTTAATGTGCTGGGGTTCATTGTTTTAAATTGTAATGCGTGTTTGTGTTACACAGACCCTCTCTCTCCCATCAGCATGGTTTTCAAGCTTCATGTATTCTTCAGCAGCTGCCTGTTTGGTAAGTTTCTACACAAACATGCATTTTCTATTCCTTTATTTCAATTACTTCTGTTTTATTTGTTCATTGCAAACAGCTGAAAGTCTGTAAATTTTGCCAACAAACCTGATTTGCAATGCGGGTTGAATAACTTTGATTACATCTTCATATCCTCCAGCCCTAAAACTTGTACAGTTTTTGTTAGTGTTTAAAAAAAAACACGAAAAAACATCCAATCATGCAGAATATAAGATGGTAGCCTAAATATTTAATTGATGAGTTGTCAATACAATATAACAATACAATATATAGGGTATGATTTTACCCCCAAATTCAACATATTTACACAAAATGATAACTGCAAATCCACATTTCACTGCCTGGAGTCCAGTTGTTTCTGTAAATTGTAGCGATCCATTTGCTTCTCTTTTCTGTAACTTTCGGCACAAAATTCCTAGTCTGTAAAAATATACCTCAGATTTCTTGTCAAATATATTTGTTTTTCACATCATTCACGCTGAAAACCAACTCTGCCACTCAGTAGGCGTAACCGCAGACACTCCGGCCGACGATTAGCCTACTTCACATGCATACCCTCTGTTATGACCTTTTACAAAGTCTTGATTTTGTTTTTGGGGTCTACTAGAATAGATTTTCATGCTTGAATGTTGGGGGGGAAAAAAACATTATTTTTCACATATTTTATATTGTTGCAGTGCCTCCTTCCAGTCTGTCTGTAACACTCTGTTTAGTTCCCATCTCAATGAAGCCCCTCCTTCCGAAAAGTGCAATGTGCTGCTCTGATTGCTCAGCTGGATCAGTGTGTTGTGTTGACCAAATGTCACACCCCTTACCATAACCGCGAGTTTCAACACACTGCTAATGCAACTCAACCAGGGCTCATCTCTTTTTTTTCCGTATGCCTTAGGTGGGAATTATTTAAATGAGGAATATTGTGACGTGTATGTTCCTGTAAGAAAACTGAAAACTCCAATCCTGGCTTTTCAGAGAGTTCATAGTACAGTGCTTACTTATATAGAGAATAGCTCCCTTTGAAGTGGACTTTGTGCTCTGTAACATTGCAGACCTTTTTCATGCTCAAACAACAAAATTACACAATAAAGAAAGATGAAAATGTAAAAAAGCATAATAGTTCCTCTTAAAATGTTTATATGCCTTACTTCTGAACATAAGTTTTGTTTACTTTGTTCTGTAGTTGTTCTCTAACAGGACAGCATGTCAGTCTCTGGGCAACATGTGTGTGATGAACATGCACTCCTCCAGCACCATCAACAATGATGCCTGTGGCCTCTACAACACAATCTACAGAGCAACAGCTGCTCAGGGCAGCAGCCAGGACATCTCCTACTGGTAATACATATACAGTTATTGTATTGTACTTTACTATTCACTACTATCGGACCATTTTAAATTATATATATATATATATAATGTCCTAGAGAGCTGAGAATCCCAGAGAATCTCCCTGTTTAACAAAAAATATACATCATTTATACTGTTAGCATACAACATAAAACAAGATAATTCTGTCCCACTGAGTCGTACACATTTATTAACTTGCTATATTTATTAACTTGTGACTGTAGGAGGACAAACCTGCCTTGGCTATACTATGGAGAACAGCTTGGGTTGGCATTACGAGTTCTACAGAATGAACCACTTCCTGTTGGATTTAGCTTTAAAGGGGCACAAAAGGTAAGCACTGTGGACATCTAAACATATTGTAAACATAAACTTACATTTTCACAAATAATCTTCCCACTTTCAGAACACTAACATTGAGCTGCGAGCTGCTGTTTACTCAGTGCGTGGGGAGTTTATAAGATGGGAGAGCGTCGGTGGAGGAAACCTGCAGGTAGGGCAGGCAAGACCATTTTCTGGGGTCGGGTTTACGAAACATTTTTAAGAATAAAATTATTCTTAATTTCTATTTTGTTTTTTTGTTTTTTTACTTAAGAAGTTAGAAAGCCTGTCATTTTCTTCTTAAGAAAAAAAAATCTTAAAATGATAGTTCACCCTAAAATGAAAATTAAGTCAGAAATTTCTCGCCCTGAATAGAGACCAGCATCAAGCTTTTTTAAAAAGATGCAAAAGTCAACTTTATTAATATAGCGATACTTTTTACAATGACCCATCACTTGCTTCTTTCCTGAATGAATCAGCCATTTGAACAAATCGGTTGAATGAATGACTACCTCAACTCACTTATTAAGACAGTGACTTGCTACCCACCTACTGGCGGTTTTAGTTTCATATTTAAAATACCCTTTATTTAAAAAGTTCAAATCTCATAGCATTATTTATGCAATTGTAAATGCTGTGTAAATATATTAATGCCATTTCTGATGGCGCTTCTGTGTCACCTCTGCACTACAAAGATGGGTTTTGTTGATAATGATTTAATTTGACTGGTAGGTAACAGCCCTATACTGTTATTATTCTAATAGAATTTAATGTGAATGTTAGTATTTGACATAAAAGGTGATGGATACATCTAACACGTTTAGAAAAATGTCCTTATATAGGTAAAAATGCCCCTGGAAACCAATTTAAGGTGGCAAATATTGCCCCTTAATAAAAATGTTAATTTCTGTCACTGCTGTGAACTGACCACCGCATAGAATGAATAATATGAATATCTTTGTGAGTCAGGTGTCAACAACAGGCCTAAACCAGCCATGGTACCAGCACAAAAACACATTATAATCAACAAAACTTTGGAAATATCGCAATATAATTTCAATATTGCACACCCCTAATGTACAGTATTCATTTTTATTTCTTCAGGTCTTAAAAAGACTTAAATTTGCCTTTAAAAAGTCTGCAGCAACCCTGATAACAGAAATATGAGAAATCTTACAGGGAGGCAAAAGAAGCCTGAGAATAGGCCCAATCGCCACACAGCAATTACCCTGTGGAGTGAATGATACCCCAGACAGGAAGCAAATGGCCTTTATACCATTTTAAAAGTCTTCGGCAGGCTTCTTTTGCCTGCCTTCCACAGATAAGAGACCCATGCTTACGTAAGTTTTTGTTTATCACTTAGTTATCCCTTAAGACCACCACCAAAAGTCAGTACTAGGGTCAAAGGTCATGTCCCATATGTTCCTAAAGTGTCAGACCCAGCCACCTCCCCAGATACCCATACATGCATACATCCTGTTCACAAACATATATGTTCTCAAGAGGGGCACACGGCATTAGAACAACACCAGGGTGAACTATCCCTTTTGAGAAAATATTTGAGAATTTCTTAATAGTTTTTCAAAAAATGCACTAAATTCATAATTTAAAGTCTGCATACATGAAATGAAAGTTGCGATAGTCTTTTCTTCTATATCGTGATATATATCTGAGTGAAAGATTGTCCCGCAGTATTTATTATATTTATTATAAATATTATTTATTTATAATAAATACTGCAATATTCCATGAAAATAATATATTTTGATTTCAAGATCTTTCTTACTAACTCCTTAGAATTTC